TAACTTTTTATGAGTCATGAATCTGTCTTTTTTTAAATTCTTCTTTAACCTTTTATTTAAAAAGACATGCATAAATTACTATTCACCTTTAAAAATTGCATTGTGAATTTTTAACTTTCATATACAAAGATAAGTAGAATTTGTATTTTTCATAATTTATGCAGTGAACTATTTAATGGTAAGTAGAAACTTTGTATCCTTTACAAGGTATTCTACTATACAAGTTTAAAAAAATGAAGGTCCATTGCCACTTACAACCATATGGAAGAAGATTACAATGCTTTAGGAAATCAAAGGAAAAAAACTAACAAAAATGCTCCGACATTTATTCAAATAATGAATAAAACCCAAACCTTGATGACTTCACTTGAACATCTGTTAAAGACAGTTCTAACAATAACGTGTGTTTAATGATGAGGTTGTATCTATTAGAACCACAAGTCACACACACATGATAACAACAACAAAAAAAATTTCAAATAACTGATCAGTACCTTCTTCATTTAGGCTCTATGTATAGTCACTTTTGGTACTTCTTTGGCCTATCATGCATTCAGGCAAACTTACTAGCATTTCATAGAAGCACAATTGTTTGTCCTATTATTACTGTGTATGTTAGAAATTTTCTGTGTGTGTTTTACGGTGTTTTGGAGTCTCTCAAGGTTCAGCAGAAGCCACTGCTATAAGGTGATTGGTGATTACTATTGAGGAATGGTTCTTCCATATTGGAAAGTAATCAGAGACACACACACTCTTTCAATCAAAGTGATTGAATTGACCCAGTATTTGGTCTTATATTGCAGGTAAAAGTGTCATGAATAATTCAACTGCTTGTAGTTAAGAGGTTCAACTGTCAACATAAATTCACTTGCCATACCTGGCTGGGTACAAATGAATCCTTTTATAAAACATCCTAAGAAAATTATAATAAAACAAAAATCATAGCATAAAAGAATGTATAAATTAATACTTAAGTACAACATGCATCCCTAATAAATATCAATGACTACTCTGACTCAGCTTCTATGTATATGTCACAAAGGCTATCCTGACCCAGCTCTTGCTAACATGTCGGTTATCCATATTCAATACCAAACTATCACAAAGGACTATCCCAACCTAGCTTCTGTGAAAATGTCAGTTATTGATACTCAATAACAACGACTTACTGACTCATCTTCTGCAAATATCTCAGTTATCTACATTCAATACCAACAACTCTCACAACCCAGTTCCTACACATACACCACAAGACTGTCCTGACCCAGCTTTTGCAAATGCATCAGTTATCTATGATCAATACCAAACTATCCTTATCCAGCTTCTGTGAATATGTCACAAAGACTATCCTGACCCAGCTCTTGCTAACATGTCAGTTATCTATACTCAATACCAAACTATCGTGCCACAGCTCCTGTGAATACATCACAAAGACTATCCCAACCTAGCTTCTGTGAAAATATCAGTTATTGATACTCAATGCCAACAACTATCACAACCCAGTTCCTGTGAATACATCATAAAGACTGTACAGACCCAGCTCCTGCGAATATGTTAGTTATCGATACTCAATAACAAAGACTATCCTGACTTAGCACTTGCAAATACATCAGTTTGTTTAGATGTTTCAGGACTGGTAACGAAAACATCAGCATCAAGGCAGCCAGCTGACTACCATCTTAAAGTTGTGACACTGACAGGAGGAGAAGAACTGAAGGTATGCATTCATCTAAGGTAGTGAACACAGCCAGTGACTTCACAAGTATCTGCCAAACCTTCTGACATTAGATTGCTAAATTATGTGGATGTATTGTGTTACTATTATCCTGCAGATGTAAAAAAAGATAGTCATGCTGTCATTGCCATTCATTGGTCAGGAAATTTACTAATACAATAAATTAAACATCAACAAGAAATCCAGCAGAAAAATGAACTTTACCACGATTCCAGATGTTAAATTACCTGAGTAAAGTTGAAAAATATGTCCAGGGCATTCATACCTGGAGGTATGCTTTTGCATGTACACACAATCCACATTTTACTTCCCAAACAAAACAACTGAAGTTATTCACCAAATGTTTTCAAGTGTCATATCTAGTACCATCATCTGATAATGTTCCAAGTGTCATATCTAGTACCACCATCTGATAATGTTCTAAGTGTCATATCTAGTACCATCATCTGATAATGTTCCAAGTGTCATATCTAGTATCATCATCTGATAATGTTCTAAGTATCATATCTAGTACCACCATCTGATAATGTTCTAAGTGTCATATCTAGTACCATCATCTGATAATGTTCTAAATGTCGTATCTAGTACCATCATCTGATAATGTTCTAAGTATCATATTTAGTACCACCATCTGATAATGTTCTAAGTATCATATCTAGTACATCAACTGATAATGTTCTAAGTATATCTAGTACATCATCTGATAATGTTCTAAGTATCATATCTAGTACCATCATCTCATAATGTTCTAAGCTTCATAACTAGTACCATAATCTGATAATGTTCTAAGTGTCATATCTAGTACCACCATCTGATAATGTTCTAAGTGTCATATCTAGTACCATCATCTGATAATGTTCTAAGTGCATATCCAGTACTATCAGCTGTCCAAGTAGTAATAATCAATTGTTTCTCACACCTTATCTCAAAACCTTGAAAAGTACATATTGTTAAATTTTTGGCTTTAAAAATTCACAGCTACCTTCTGTATGATCCTATTACTATCCTAACTGTTGTAATTTGTTGATCTCAGGTGATCTGCTCCACAGAATCACAATGGAATTCCACTATACAGCTCAGAAAATAATGGTTGTTACTCCCTTTTGACTTTCAGGCTTTTACAGCCATACATGGCTGTAACCTGTGGTCGTAAAGTCATCGTAACAGTTGGTATTTAGTGGACCTCAGATAATAAACACCACCAGTTTCCCAAGTCCAAAAGATACAGGCATCAAGTTAATAAATTGCTTCAAGATCCAATCCAGATCTACTTTGGCAGTCCCTTTGAATATTAGGAGGTTAATAGTTTTGCTTCATTGCTATTAGAATAAATTAGAAAAGTGAGAACAGAGACCTGCAGGTAGCACCTTCACAAACAAAAAGCTTATAAGCATCACTATCAAAGGTTTCATTTCATGCCTGGTACCTATGAATTCTCACAAATTTCAGCTGCATACTATGCCATTCCTATGCTTTGGTGACTTTGAAAGTCAATCTATTGTTGCTAAAAGGTTCTCACCTATGCAAGAGGTCATAACCTTAACCACTGGCTAATAGCTACACTTTGTGCAATGTAACCCATGCTATGAATACCAAGGTGTCCCACAGAGACTCTCCTATTGTTGCTAAAAGGTTCTCACCTATGCAAGAGGTCATAACCTTAACCACTGGTTAATGGCTACACTTTGTGCAATGTAACCCATGCTATGAATACCAAGGTGTCCCACAGAGACTTCCACAGAAGATCTCAAGGTGCTTATACTTAGTGTCACCTAATCTCTTCTGCTGTACAAAGCCTTAAGGTGTTTACTGATGCATCTAAGGAAGTTCCAGATCAGATTTCAACTATTTGACCTTATGGCATGTACACACACTATTGCAGGGCTAGGTAGGTATGTGAACTACAACTCAAGAGAGGAGGGACATTCTACTAGCCTCACTAAGCTTAACAGGTCTAAACCATTTCCAGAACTTCAACCTTAGTTTTACTTCTTGGGAAGTTTATTTCTATTTTTAAAACTCCAAGTTTTTAATGAGACAGGAGAAAACAAAGAAGCATGTTGTTTTTGAAACTATGCAGGTTCTGAATCTGTGGAAAAAAGTTTAATAAGAAACAACTTGATTGAAAATATAGACTAGTGCAACATGTACAACAAACACATAGAACAGTTTATTGACAAATTGTGGTTTTACATAACAAATATTATCTTTGCAGTGACTAGTCTATGGCTCCTGGACATTTTAAAAATTCTGGTTGCTCTAGCTTATCTGACATTAAGAACAAGAGAGCAATTTCTTGCTGTACTTAAAATATATTTAAATTCCAAGCTTTGCTTAACCCTTACTGCAACTTTTATCTGACCAATGAACATTATATTAATTGATGTCATCACAATACCATCTCCTATCATGAACTGTCCAGTGCTAATCACTTTCAAGATTAATTTCAAGTGGTGAATGCCGTTCAGATCAGCCAGGTGTCAAGATGCCAATCTTTCAACAATGACTTTCAATATATCTACAATTACAACTATAGAGTGATTTTTCTGTAATATATGAGTTGATAATGTTCATGTTTTTATAGAAAAGTTAGACTTTGTGAAATGTAGTTTTTAAAACTATGTTTTTAATGAATAAAACAATAACAATGTTTTCTTTTACAGAAAATATAGTGACTAGGTGATTCATATAACAAGATTTAAATCTAGAGTACTTTAAAAATATACGAGTAAGAAAACTCAGTTCCTACCAAAAACAGAAGTTATAAAATTATCTAAGTTCACTATGACATATTTGTATTACATGTTGTGATCTGTTAGTCAACAGATATTAACTGAAATTATCACTGCCATTAAAGATATACAGCATCACTTGATGTAATAACCTAAAGTTAGAGTCTTCTCACTTGCAGTTAAAAACAGCAGTACTGAACTAGAATACTACTTCATTAAAATGATGAGATGACATTTGGTTCATGACAGTAAAATATTAACAAAATTACTTTGAAAATGATATCTCATTTAGTTGATTTTAAAATATGTTAAATCCATCTAAAACCACAAAAAACTAACAACACAACAAATTTTAAATTGCATTACAAGACCTTTATTAGAAAAAATAAATATTTAATTTCTTACCTTTTTCATAAAAAATCTGATATCCTGTCAAAACACCATTGGCCTCTACTGGTTTCTTCCAGATCAAGTAGAGAGCACTGGATCCCAATGGGAAAGCACTGAAGCTGGCCACTGGTCCAGGAACTGAAGGAAGTACATATTAGTTACAATAAGATATACAACTAAACTAACTACAATTAACAAGTCATGTATTTTTCTAAAACTATTACAATACAACGGTAGTACTTAGTGTTCAGAATACAATTTGTTGGATATACAAGACTGTTTAGTGTAAGTTATTATTTAGTTCATTTAGTGATCTAATATTCAATGTGTTACAACAGTGGGGGTCACGTGATGTTGGTAACACGTAATGAGTATCTAGAAGACTTGCGAAAAAAAATGCTAGTGTGTTACGACAGCAGAAGTCAAGTGACGCTGGTAGCACGTGATGAGTGCCTAGAAGATTCTAGAAGATGCTACGCGGGCGGTATTATCGTATATAAGTGCACTAGACAAAGAGAGAAAGAGAGAGTGGGGTACCAAGGACAGCAGTTACGGTCGGTGGGAACCGAGGCTAGCAGATACAGAGATCGGAACTATAGTTGCTGACAGGTGGGGATAGAGACGGACAATTGAGTCAAGCACGGTAGAAAGTGAGTGAATTGTTGTGAATTATAATGTTTGTTTAAGTCAAAGTAACTGAGAAAATTAAGTGTATTACAAAGTTGTATTGAGGAAGAATAAACAAGTTTTATTTAAGAAAGGACTTGTATCACAGAAAAATTAACAAACAAACATACAGAGACGTAATAAATGATTATCTAGTTTTCATAACAAGAGTGTTTAAAAATTAATTATTTTTATGGTGATAGTTATGATAAATTTTGTTACATACCTCTGTACGAGTCATGCTCAACTGTTGTAAATTGATGTCATGTTACACAAATCTTTGATATTATTTTCGTTGCCTTAAGTGAGTATGGTTATATCATAGCATTTGAAGAATTACCAGAACTAGCTTTCAGATGTTCTGTTGTACAATGCACAAAGCAACAGGTGGTTGATCCCCCATATTCTATTCCACATTGAGAACAAACATATCAATAGACAACATATGAGCATTGAGATCTATTGATTATTTTATTTTGTAAAAGTTCTATATTCTTAACATTGATTTGAAAACCAAACTACTGAAATTTGTGAGTAGTTCAAGTTCAAAATAATTTTGATTTTATTCTGCAAAGCATAACTCTCTTACCATTAAGTAAACAAGAGGGAGAGTTGGTCCCTGAAGGGAGATGGTTGTCATATATATAGAAGCCCTCTTCTGGATGTGGAACTTTCACCAATGTTCTGTGAGGGTCTTGTGCACCCAGATCAACCAATCTAGTTTTCTTCTGTAGATCAATCTCAGTGCGAGGGTGGCACAAATAACTGAGAATTGTCATAGTAGTATGGTGCCTGGTGAGTCTAAGCATGAATGCATGGTCTCTATATGAGTCCCAGACCATTGCCAACCAGAGTAGTTCCACCCCACCTCTGATAAAAGCCATGAGAAAATAGTTAAGAAAGACTGAAGGTGCTGTTGTTGGGTAGCATCCACCAATAGGAGCTATCTTACAGTCAAGTGAAAAAATAGTGAGTACTTAATGATGAGAGAGATCAGGCATGGGGCAGTTGTGAGCCTCTACAAGCTGGAAGGTATCCTGCTAGGGCAACCATGGCTCTTGGAGAAGTCTGGGGTCCAGCAAGTTTGAAGGAAGAGATGTGAAGAATAAGTCATCATTCTGCACCCTGGAAGATGGACTGATTACTCATCCAGGGCCAGGGTTTCTCAAGATGCCTACAACATAGTACCAATGATGTTGATGACACCTTTACCTGGTGTTGGCAAAGAGTTTGTAGGCAAAAGGCTTTGACCATAAACAAGAGCCCCCCCCCCCATGATGGGAAAAATTTCAAGGGCACAACAAAGGAAGACCTGGACCATTTCCTAAAGCATTTCAGGCAGGTAAGTGCATGGAATGGCTGGTCTCAGCTGCCCAATGCCTGAATTTGAGTTTGGATGACCCAGTCCAGGTCAAGCACATGAGTGAGGCATAACTTTGAGACTGTGAAACAATCATTGCCAAAATGCATGACAGTTCAACCTGGTGCAAAATCTGATCTATTGGGCTGAGTTCAAAACCTTGAAGAAGGGCACCACCAAGGGTCTAGCCACTTATGATGTGATCTACACTGTTTTCATGGAAAATAATACCCAGCAACAGCCTCAGCAAATTGAAAAGCCATCTTTGTAGATAAGTTTGCTGAGAGACATCTGGACAAATAATGATACATCACCAGGGTTTGAGATATATTCTTACCCTAAAAGAGGCAGTTTCTGTCATGATAAATAGTAACCTTGAAGCAGCTGCAGGAGAGAAAGATTGCTGCAGTAATTGTACTAGCTTTACCTTAGACAAGCCATCCTGTCCAGGTGCCTCCATCACACTGAGGGTTAACCACACACTAACACATCCTGGTGCTGCAGTACAACCACACTAGTCAGGTTATCCCAATCTGATGACAATGATTTCTCCCCTTGGATGTCATTCAGGAAGATAGGAGCAAAGCATTTGCTTTACATTTGGAATGCTAAGTCACTATAAAATGAACAGCTCATACTTAGCCATGCAGCAAAGTAAACACGATTGTTGGTTCTGATTGATGTCTCAGCTGGTCAGTACAGGAAAGTCAGCAGCAAACAGTAAATGCTGCCACTACAGCTCTAGAAAATTATGGGAAATTAATGGACTCCAAGTCGTGTCTGGCCATCAAATTGGGGAAATATGGCAGACAGCTTGCACTGAAAAGTTTGGTCATAGATCCCAGCTAGCTCAAGGCTAAGTGAGATAAACTTGGTAATTACTTGTAAAGACATAAGGACAAGGGATTCAGTTCCTGGTAGACATAGGAGCTGCCACAACACTGCAATATATAAGGCCCTCCAAGAAAGCTACCAACCTGATCAATATATACTGACTTTGTTCTGGTAATAGTGATAAACTATAAGAAAGTGGAGAGGTAAATCTACAACTAAATCTAGGTAGCACTGCACATAGAATGAATGTGACACCCTCCACCTACATCAATACACCCTATATCCTGGTACTCTATATAAGCACCTCATTCAGATAATATTATAATATCTGTCATGTGACACCCTCCACCTACAACAATACACCCTCTATCCTGGTACCAGTGGCGTAGTAAGGGTTCTCAGCACCCGGAAGCAAAGACACTTTTGGTGCTCCCACCTCTGAAAAGTTTTGATTATTTGTTTTGTGACTCATTACCCACTTAATAACAATAACATAAAGAATTAATTACTGCCTTACACAGGCCTAAAATAAAGTCACAATATCACATCTTACGATATCACAACTGTAAACCTGGAACTAATGAAGTATAGCCTACTAGGTGTACTTACATAATTTGTAAACCATTTTGATACTTATGTCATCCAGTATTGTTCAAAGTCACAGAGATAGAGTAATCTTTCAAGCATGCAGAATAAATTTCTGTTATATCCATAGTTTTGAAACTTATGTTTTATATGAGAAGCCAGTCACTTGTGGTGTACATGGATTATAAAACAGATTGATAAAGTACTACTTAAGTTTACAAA